CCATAGTAAATGGATGTTCATCTTATGGTCAGATTGTGAAAATTGAAGAGGTGTATGGTGTGCCCTCAAACTATAAGTAAATGTTATACTAGATGCAAACTACAGAGATGTGAGACAGACAGCAAAACCTGGGTCATAAAAGCTTACAGGTTAGAAATTATCCAGAGTGTTTTTCTTAGTAAAGGCCCATAAGACCTGACTGTCCCCTTCCCCTTACCTGTCTTTCACTTTGGAGGAAAAATTTGTCTTGGACTTCCATCCAAGGTTATGGTCTTGCCCCATCCCCACAGGTCCATCATTCAGCAAGACAAATGCTGACACTGAGACTTCCTAGGAATGAGCCTTCCTAGCACATGGGACCTAATCATCCAACCAAAAGGTTAGTTGTCTGTGCATCTTTTGGATTGACTTAGGACCAAAGGGGGTACATGTGGACAAAAAGGGGACCATATACTAAACCTGACAAGCTCAGGGGAGGCCTGTGTGGCAGGCTTACAAATCAGAGACCTAAAGTAATTTCAAGGAATGGTTTGAAAAGAAAACTTTCTAACTAAAGGCAGTTTGTGGCTGGTGGTCATGTTCTAGGACAGTAACTTCCCTAACCAAGTTCAATCTTCATCTTAACTGAGCCTGTCTATTGTCTTTTTCCATCTACTGTAACATATCTGGATAACAAACCTTTGAAATATCAAAGTCATCTCCTTTTGTCCAGACCCCTCAAAACATAACTATCACACCAGAGCAGAGACCACACATCTTCTCACTGTTATTATTACCATGTTAATTGTTAAATGTTAACTATCCTATGCCCACCAATGTATGTATCTGTTCCTTTTACTTTTTACGCAATCTCAGAGCTTTTCCCACTTTGCTTTCTCCTGCCTCCCTAATCTACCACCAATGAATTTTATGTGACCTCCTTATGTCTTCTCCTTTGATTCTGATATATAAAGTAAAGTGTAAAACTGCCATTCTCTGGAGCATTTACTCAATCTGTTGAGATTTTGCTTCCCAGCAAGAATCACAATTTGGCTCAGATAAACTCACAAAAATCCTTACAGATCTGGACATTCCTTATGTTGACATTACATCAGCATATTTAATTTCATTTGTCTGGATCCTCGTTTATTTTCTCCTTCTCCACCATAGGCAGATTTGTGAAGCTTGCTGGCTGCCCTGGTATTTCTGTGAGTTTCTAACCACTACTGCCACCTACCTGTTGATGCTCTTGGATTCTTTTTTGGAAAAGTTAAAGATTCCTTAATTTTTTATTCCTGGTACCACTACCACAATTTACAGGGCAATATACCTGATGTAATGAAAGGAAGAAGACAAAGCTACAACAGATAGAAGACCTCAGGAATGTACATCTAATTGACGCTACATTGCATTAATCAATAGCTGCACTTTCTGCAAACTGTGGCTATGACAGTCCTGAACAAGAAGAGTTTCCTGTTTAAGCTGCACTAACTATTCTGACTATGGATCATTGCTCCTTCTGTGGCATATTTTTACAGTTCCTCTAATGCACTTGGGATGACTGTCTCAAAGTAACCTGCAGCTTTCCTGACAGCTCCTCGCTCTCTCTCCTGCTAAGAACCGTAGCCCTTTTCTGCTGAGTTTTTAGAACCTTCTGCTACCATATCCACCACTTCCAACACCAGATCCATAACCACCACCATAGGGGCTGCCCGAGCTTCTTCCACCAAAACTGCCCTCCTTCATGGGTCTATAATTTGGCTGCTGTTGTCCACTATAATTTCCAAAATTATTATAGTTCCCACACCACCACTACCGTAGTTACCACCAAAATTCCCTCCTTCATTGTAACCATCATATCCTCCACCACCACCATATCCACCACCTTGGTTTCCATATCCTGGTCCACCACCATAGCCTCCTCCTACTACTATAACCAGGTCCACTGCCACAATTGCCACCATCACCTCCAAATCCATTATACCCACTATCACCTCCTCTATAACTACCTCTGCTGCCACCTCCACCATAACCTCCTCTTCCACCAAAGTTTCCACCATGGCCAAAGTTTCCTCTACCACCTCTAAAGTTTCCTCCATGACCCATAAAGTTTCCAGATCTACCTCCACAGCCTATTGGTGGTCCAGCAGACTGCATTTCTTGTTTAGAAAGGGCCTTTTTCACTTCCCAATTATGCCCATTAATAGTGTGGTATTTCTGAACAACAATTTTATCAACTGTATCATGATCATCAAAAGTTACAAAAGCAAATCCTCTTTTTTTCCCACTCTGCCTATCTTCCATAACTTCTATGGTTGCAATCTTGCCATACTTTTCAAAGTAGTCTCTCAAATTATACTCTTCTGTATCTTCTTTAATACCACCAACAAAAATTTTCTTCACTGTTAAATGGGCACCGGGCTTAACAGAATCCTCTCTAGAAACAGCTCTCTTTGGTTCCACTACATGCCCATCAATCTTGTGTGGTTGAGCACACTTGGCTGCATTCACCTCCTCAGCACAAGAGTAAGTGACAAAACCAAAGCCCCAGAACGTTTTGTTTGGGGGTCTCTCATCACTACATAATCTGTGAGAGTGCCCCTTTTCTCAAAATGTTCTCTTAAACTATCATTTGTAGTTTCAAAGCTCAAAACACCAATAAAGTTGCTTTCTCAACTACTCTGGTTCTTTTGGATCATGGCCCCTCATTTTGAGACTGGACTTGCCTCTTCCAACTCGAGTTCAATATGGGACTGAGAGGTGATGCTGTTGGATTCTGCATGTAACTACTCATCCTGTTATAGCTGCACTGTGAATTAGAATTTTCATTCAGATGAAACTGATAGTTTTCCAGGGGTGGTGGATTCCATTTCATGCTTTTTGCCTTAAATCCTGAATTACTGGATACCTAGTTTTCTGTTTAATTCCATTTCCTGCTCACAGAGGTGTTTTGTACCTCTCATACCTTCAATATTTCCTTTCTGCATTCTCTTGGCAAGTGATTTTTGTCTCCAATTTCACTGAGAAAACAGAAACAAACTGGAGTAGTAGCAGTTTTTTTTTTAATCTTTCCAGCAGAATCTACCAGCCTGCCTGGCCCTGTGCCCACACATTTTGCCTTTTTCCTGTTACTTTGGATCTAAAACTAACTCTCCAAGCCCTGCAACCAACCTCTGGCTTGTCAAATAGGTACTTTGCTTCTATAATCAACCTTCTCTTAGACTACCAGTTCTTCTCTCTCTACTGCCCACCATACAAGGAAATACACATTTTAGGACCCCAACTCTCCTTCTACTACTTCATTTCTCTGTTTTTTCATTTCAGCAATGCTTCCTTACCTACCATTGCTCTGTGACCATTCATTTCCCCTCCTCATTCCTCTAAAGCCACATTTATCAAGACCTTGCTCTTGCCAAATCCAAGTTCTCAACTCTCTGAAACCCTGAGTAACTAGCGTAGGACACAATCTGAAACAGACTGAAACACTTAATAGTACACTGGTCTTTCAGGACACCACATTTTCCTGCTCATTTTTCCACTCACTGGCCAGTCCTCATTGTCCTCTACCAAATTCTCCTCCTCTTCCTGAAGACTAAATATTGGGATGCCCTCGGCAACTTGTTCCTGCAGGTGTTGGGCATGGGCTGACAGTATTACCATTGTTTGAGAGCTTGTGAGATGAGACATCTTAGGTCCCACTCCAGACTTACCTAGTTAGAGTCTGGTTTTAATAAGATTCCCCCAAGCCCAAGTTATTTGGCTGCACAATAATGTTTGAGAAGCCCTGACTGGTGTGGCTCAGTTAGTTGGGCATCATCCCACAAAGTGAAGGGTCACCAGTTCGATTTCTGGTCAGGGCACAGGCCTGGGTTGCAGGTTCAGTCCCTGGTTGGGGTGCGTACAAAAGGCAACCCATCAGTGTTTCTCTCTCACATCGATGTTTCTCTCCTTTACTCCTTCCCTTCCCCTCCCTCTAAAAACAAATAAATAAAATCCTTAAAAAAAAAAACCATTTGAGAAGCACTGGGTGAGTGCTCAGTTCTTTCTCTACTGTCCTACATCAGGGTTTCTAGCTGCTGCGCTGCTGGCAGTTTGTGCCAGATCATTCCCCTTCACAGGGAGCTGGACTGTGCACTGGTGGGTATTTAGAAGTTTCCCTGTCACCCTCCTTTACCAGTTGTGACAACCAAAAATTCTACAGAAAATGCCTAAGGTGAAAGAAAATGGTGAACCAGAAAAGCATCCATTGGAGGGAAACAGGCTAAAACAAATAAAAGAGCAAATCAAAGGTTAATTGGCCTGTAATCACTCTTCTACACTCCAGGGGTGAGAAAGACATTTAATCAAAGATTCAGTAGAAGTTATGTGCAGATGATTAGCCTTAGTCTTATAAATTTCATTAAGGGTCTGTGGTTAAATGGTCCAGGGCACATCTATTCTCACCCACCCAAGATCTCTGTGCCTTCTGGTAACAGCACTCTGGCTTTCTACATACAACCAGTCACCTCCCTTTGAGGTTTGGTGAGTGGGGAGAGTTACCCAAACTCCCCTTCTTCCCCCACCCCCTGGTTTTCCCCAGGAATAAGCTAGTTCCAGTCCTAGCTAGTTAGTATATCTCACCTCCTTGGTGATGGTGATTGGTCTAAATTGGCCCAGTGAGAATCAATCCCAGGACCAGGGAAGGTGTACTGAGAAAGGTAGATGGGGTGCCTATTGGCACGTCACTCTAGCTGGTGACATGTAAGCTTAGAACTGTTGATGACCATCTTCCCAAGCCTGGGAAGAGCTTTTCTGAGAATAAAACCAATCCAAGAAAAGCAGAGCCCAGAGACAAAGAGGTGACATCATTTGAGCCCCTGGATACAGCTGTGTCTGGGTTTTTTATTTATGTAGGTCAATAAATTTCTTTTTTATCTGAAGTAAAATTAAATTGAGGGTCTATAATTTATACCCAAAAGGGTTCTAACAAATACAGTAGAAATGAGTGAAAGGAGGCAAAGAATGAAATCCATATTTGTTACCTTTTTGCTGTTTTCTGTGAGCCACTGAATTCTCTGTTGATAAAGTCCTATAGCTCTGTCAAAACGGCAGAAAGACTCATTACTCAAGGACAACTCCATTACTGAGCAACAGCCACTTACATGGGAGGATAGCATGGATGAGTTATTTTTTAATGTGTCTAAGTTTTTGGGAGAGTATAAGGCAGACTTAACAGAGAAAACTGAAGGTGCTTGTTTGCTAGGGGTAAACACTGGCGGGGCTGTGAGAAGAACTGTGTGGGTGCAGCTCCTTGGTGGTGCCGTGTATACTACAGGCAGCTGTGATTTGGTGGGATGAGAGTCAGGGATGAGAATGAGCGCTGAGTGCAGGCAGGGCAATGGAGGGCAGGGGTGTCCTCATTAAGAAGGTAGAAGAATACTCTTGCTTTTCACAAATTGGTCCTTTCAGGGGAGACTTCCAAGTCACCTAGGGATGATCATCAAGACACATGGGAGACAGTTCAGCAGCACTTTCTCAGTGTATTGATGAACAAATGAAGCTTAGTTTCCAAAAAATTAGTCTCAAACAATTCCAATGGCTGTTTGGAGACCAGCATGTAACAGGTGCTAAACCTAAAGACTCAGTCACTGGAATATAAGTGACTTGCCCTCACTGAAAGCTGTTGAGATTTGGGGGCCTAGGGAAGGGCAAGGAAGACCTTTGGATATGAAATTATAGGGCAGGGGGTGGTGCATAGTTTTCAGGCACACATGAGTATAGAAGGGCTACGAGTATGAGCTTCAGAATGAGACAGGTTTGTCCTGGAGACCCAGCCCTGCCATTTATTAGCTGGTTGACCTTGGACAGGTGTGGGGACCTCTCCAGGCCTCGGTTTCATCATCTCCAAAATGAAGACAATAATGAGACTTTATCCAAGTCAATCTACTTGAGAATCAACTTGGTAAATGACCAATTAACTGAATGGACTTGAGCATTCCTTAAAATGCTGGGTTCACAATTAAACCAATCAACCAAAATATTGCAGAATTCTTTCAAAACTCTTTAAACCTTCCAACTGTAAATTACTATGAAATTTATAGTCAAAGTATTTTGATAAATTTGGCAAATTAGTCATTTAGCAATTGAGATTTAGTTAACTTTTGAATAATACTATATTTCAAATTGTTCTGAGGACTGAATAAGATAATGCATGCAGCCCTGAGTAGAATCCCTGACACATTAACAAATGTTAGCTATTAGTTATTACTATACCTTTGTAGGTAAACTCAGGCAAACAGTAATCACGGGCCACAGACTGCATAGCCAGGATGGAATGTAGACATGTGCAACCAAAATCTGGTTTGGGAGTGGGGAGCCTGCATATTTTTACATTTACAAAAGCATGAACCCAATCCATCAGTCACTGAAAGTGGTCGCTCTTAAAAACTACACATCAATTAAGGCTGTGAGGTTTTATGTGTTTATCCAAGGAAATAATCAATTTTAGAAAGCTGAGAAAAACTTATATGATCCAACTTCTTTATGTCAGAAAAAATAAAATTGGGTCTAGAAGTGGGAAAAGACCTGCCTAAAGTCCTACAGAGATTGTCATCTGACCTTCAAGCTGCTGAAAGGCAGTAATTCTTGAGTTCTGGGGTTGCTGGGAACATACTGAAAAACATACTTACTCAGAAAGCTTTGCTTCGAACTGGTGGATGATCTGGGGTGAGAACTGCATTTTCCTCATGGCACTGCTGTCCTCCTCCCTGAAGAAGCAACGCCTAAGAAGGGGTCTCTCAGGCCCAGGGAGCTGGGTATGTCACTGCAGGTTTAGGGTGAGGGGGTGGCTTCAGACTTACAGCACAGCTGTGCCCTGACAGATCAGGTCAGCCAAGGTGAGCTTCTCAAACTTTAAACTGTGAGTTGAAAGCCAATCATGTGCATCATCCCACACTGAGGGCTGGATCTCCCGTTCTTGTAGCCTCTGTGAAATGGAGCCAGAGTAAAACAAATAGCCGTGGAAAGAGAGAGTGAGGCTGAGGACATTCTAAGTGCCCGGCTCTCTACACACAGGTGCCCAAGAGCCACCAACTCCAATGGTCTTACCTGAAAGCAGCCTGATTAAGATCTCACCTTGCTGAAAGAACAGAGGAAAATGGAGACCCATGCTCTGGGCCAGCTGTCCTGGAAGTCCAGTTCCCCTCTCCCAACTCATGTCTAACAAGCAGCCGTACAATTCAAGGGCCACTCAGCATGGCCTGCCTGTGAGAGACAGAGTCTGCACGTATAGAGCAGCCAAACCATACTTGACAATGGAACTCCAACTGGCAACCTCCATAGCAACTGGCCTTCAAGGGTCAGGACTGGGTCAAAGACGCCAGCTTTCCTATTTTTATACCTCTGCTTCCAGCTCAGGACCAACCAAAGAAAGTCATATATGCCCACAAACCAATCACATGATATGCCTGGCTTCTAGTTAGGTGCCTCCAGCTTGCCTCTGCTGACAGCTTCCTCCAGAGCACACCTAGAGCCTCCCTTTCTTCACTATATAGCTTTCTCACTCCCCTGACAGCCTTTGAGTCTCTGCCAAACACTAGTGATGGTGGCTGACTCTGTTGCTAAAGAAAACTCTGAATAAATTCCATTTTTTTTTCATTTGGGTGGTCTCTGTTTCTTTCCGCTTTGCCTTCTCTGTCATTTCAGGTGGATGAGTTCTGCCTCCCTATCAGTCTGATGGACCCCAACCAATATTTGCTGACTAATGGAAGAGGGAATGGGTTTATCCTGTCCATTCCAGAGGCTGAAAACAGTAGCAGCAGGTGACAGTTTTAGAGGAAGAATTTTCTAGCCACCACAGCAGTCTGCCCACAAAATGGACTAAGCCCCTTTACCTGTACCTAGTGACACCTTCATCACTTACATAATGCTAAACTCAGAGTGTGGGAATGTGGGTGAAGTTGAAGTCATTTGCAGTGAGCATTCAACATTGGTGACACTTTCTGGGGGCCAGAAGATAGAGAAAGCTGACCTGAAGCTCTGAGTCCACTTTGGCTGTTCAACTCTTCTGGAGGCTGGCATTTCTTTCATTCTCCAGTGAGTGTTTCTAAGCCCTACTCTGAACTAGGCACTGCTCCTGGAGAACAAGATGGAAATGTTTTTGCCTTCTTGGAACTTACATTCTAGTGTAGATGAATGGACAGTAAGGGAGAAAATGAAATCGATGTACATAATTCCAGAAAGAAACAGTTCCATTAAGAAGATCGAACAGGGAAATGTGATAGAACATGACTGAGGAGGAGATAGGGAGGTCACTTTATCCTCTCTGGGCCAAGATCTATAAGTTAAGAAGAAGCCAGCCCTGTGCATAGCTTAGAACTCATATTCCAGTTAGAGGAATGGGGTTTGGGGTATGTGTGTATCAGAGGGTTTGAAGAACAGAAAGGTGCTCACTGTTGCTGGAGTGTAGAAAATATAGGGTACTGTGACATGAGAAAAGACTGGAAAAGTGTGCAAGGCTTGGATCAGAAAGGGATTTTGCAAGTTTCCAGCACAGCCACTGCTGTCCATGTGATACAAGTTGACCTTAAATGTTGCCAAAGCTAGCCATAACTCACTCAGGGTACAGAATGGCATCATAATAGGAGGCTATCTCAGTCCCACGGTGAGAGAAACCACCCTCTGGCATCTGATGAGTGTGGAATGAGCCTGGGGCACCATTTCACCCACTGGGACCCCAGTCTAGATACAAGGATGGCTTCAGAAGCTCCTGGGTAACTGCTCGAACCCTAAGTGGGTCCTGCTTAGGCTTGCATTTGTCAGGACTTTTGTTGCAGTGGGTGAGGTGGTAGACAAGAGGTTGGAACTATCCACTATAGCTGACTGAGCTACACAGGACAGGACAGAGGATACAGGGAGAGGAAGAGTTAATAGGATGGACAAAGAGTAGGAGGGAAGAAAGGCGTGTGGTACTGTTTGGTGATTTCAAGTCCACTTGTTTATGAATTATATGAAGTTGTTTTGATCTAAGAGTGAAGCTGTTTACATTGCAGAACAAGATGTTGACAAGGTATTGTCATGATACCTGCTGTTATTGGTCAACAGTAGCTCAGTGGATGATGGGCACTGCTGGGGGTTTAGCAATAAGAACATGTGGAAAAGTAGCTACAGTGAGGGACATTTAGCTTTTAAATGCAAGAATCTGTGAGGACTCACCGAGAGTTCTCAGTCTAGGCAAGGGGACTCTACTGACCTACCCAGCCCTCTGATGACCTTGGGCTCCTGCCATGGTGAGACAACTCTTTATCAGGGATGGTAAAAACCATGCAGCAGCCCCAGGAGGGAGATTATCTTGCCACCCATTTAGTGCCATCATTCCCTAGCAACATGCTCTAACAACAAGAAATGTTCCCTTTGCCCTGACAGCAGCTCTTGGCTAACTAAGACGACTCTTCTGAGAACCAACTCACCAACTTGTAGAAAGGTACATCTCCATTGAATTTGGACTTTATTTCCCTTAAATTCCATTTGCCTGAAATAAATGTAATTTCATTCAAAGGATGTTATTTCTTTATTGGCTTATTAAGAGACATTATCCTGTTGCTATTGGCTTGTGAAATTATTATAATTCCCACAGTGAACCTGTGTTAAATAAATTACTGGCAATGACAACCTGTTTCTGAGCATAAATTTGCTGCCCAAGCCAATGGGCATTGGGTGATGAGCATCTCCATTTACTAGCTTTGTGGTGCTGAGCAGCTAGTCTTCCTTTGCCTGTAAGATGGGCATCTGAAACTTTGGTACAGACTAGGGCCTTGAGTGCTTCTGCATAAACAGTTCTCGACAATGGTGGGAGGTAACCACAAAACAAAGACAACAACAATAAAATGCTGCTATTATGTTCCAGCAAGAGAGTATTGCACCTTAAGTTTTGCACCCCAGCCTACTTTCTCTGTTTCAAAAGGAAATTGCAGATACTAAAGAAGTGTGAAAAATACTAATAATTAAAGCAAACATTTAAATAGCACTTATTATGTGTTGAGAACTTTCCATATATTAACTCATTTAATTTTAAAACATAGGTTCTATCATTAATCCCATTTTACTGACAAGGAAACTGAGGTGTAAAAAATTTAAGTAATTTGCCCAAAGTTACACAGCTAGTAAGTGATGAAGCTGGGATTCAAACCCAAACAGAAAAAACCCAAGTCATGTTTGTGATCACAATATATACAGTCTTTAAATTAGCACCACATTGTGACTATTTTGATTAGGAACTGTGAGAGAAGGGACTGAAAAGATCACTTTCTCATAATGCGATTCTCTGCTAATCAGTGTCCTGTCTTTGAACCACCTAAAGCCATTGTCCTGTCTCACACTTAGGGAAACACATGAAATACTGTGAACATATGAACACTAGTTGTCACCCTTCTCATCTTTCAGGACTCACACTGGTCAGTGACAATACTGAACAAGGCAGATGCAATCCAATCCACCTTTCTTCCAGTTTACTTGCATTTGAAATGATCCATCGGGTTTTGGAAAGTTGATTTTGTATTTTTACTATTTGAAGATTCACTATTAAATACATTCTGGATTTTGAGTGTAGAGCACAGGGATTGCATTCTAAAGGTTGAATTTTTCAAAGAGAATAGTTAAGATCTATGTGTTGGGGCTCTCCCTTCCTTCTTTCTCACTGCCACTCACTTGAGAGGCAAAGAAGGCCCTGACTGTGGCTGATAAATGTAGGGCTGATCCTTGTACACCTGGGAAGTCATGTATTTATATTATATTAGATGAAATAAAGACATATCAACATCTGAGGCCACTGAAAGAATCCCTCAGAACCTCAATTCTATTGATATTCCTCATTTTCTTTTAATTAAACTTGCTTTCCTATAAGTGCCCATACTCAGGAAAAGTAAGACATGACTATTTTCCTGATTGTTTAATTGCCAGCATTAAAACTGTATTGTTTTGCACTGATATCATTTCACATGTGTGATATTTAAACTCCAACATAGATTAGATAGTTATGGGCCAGGCCTGCAACTGACCACCCCTGAAGACAACTGTTTCTATGGTAAAAAGAATTCTGAGTTTTAGACAATCCACTCACCATCTTGGGAAGATGGCTCAAATACTCCTGTTATTCTAGAGGTTAATTCTTCCATAACTCTCTTGGTCCAGCAGCAATTAGTGAAACTGACTTTTAGATTTAGATTTTAGGGAATCCTAAAAAAAAACAAATCTCAGGTAGGGGAATTTTAGAAATCAATTTCTTAGACTTCAGGCTTTGAGAATGTGGACAGTCTTCTTTACATGCTCTTGAATATTTCATGATATGCCTCAGAGAACTACAGAATTTCTATAAACAGCATAGACATTCTTTGGTCGTTTCTAAAGGCAAGGGATTAGATATAAATGCACAACTAATCTTTTTCAGTCCTGGGATCCTATGTTAAGAGAATACCCAGAGTTGGACACATTCTGTATTCTCTCACTATGATCTGTAAACACCATGACACAGTTAAAGCACAAAGGTTTTTACCAGTAAGTCTTGTGTCTGATTAACATGTGTAACTAGCAGTCCATCGTCTGGATTTTGGCCAAATTCACTGACATCCTTCTGGATCACTTGCTTCTTTGGGTCTCTGTTTCTCTTTGTGCTACAAAACAAAGTGATCTGATCAATGTCCCAGTGCTGGATGTTGATTCCACACTGACAGTGCCTCTAAAAAATGTTTATTTCTGTGCAGTAAGTGGGGAAGGTTCCTATAGAGTCCTAATAAAATGTGATCTCTGGGTTCGTGAGAAATTTTACTCTGTTGTTCTGGTGGATGATTGAAGCCCTCAGGTATGAGATAATGCAATGGCAAGTTACCTGCCTCACTATTAGGCAGGTATTCCTCCCTCAACTCCCCAGGGCAAAATATTATTGTCACTGTATTTATTTGCAAAATCAGAGAGAAGCTTACCAGTGATTTTCTAGATATTTATTATCTTGACCGTGGGAGATGTGGCTACTTTGTGTTTCCATTATAAAGATACTCAGTGCTTGTTCTCCTAGGAAGGAAAAGAATTCGAGATAAAAGAGTAAGTGTAACACTGAGACAACAGTCTTGGAGTTCTCTATATTCAACTCAATTCTCCTCTAATCCACCCAATAAATACTTATCAAATACCTATGAGGTATCAGGTGCTGAGGATATATGATGGTGAACAAGATAATGAGAGTTTCTCATTCTTGGTCCTTTTGACATTCTTGGTTGTGAGGCTGTCCTGTGCATTGTAGGATGCTTAGCAGCATCCCTGGACTCTGCCTATTAGATGCCAGTAGCACCCCTGCCCCCAAGTTGTGACAACCTGCATTGTCTCTAGACATGGCCTGATGTCTCCTGGGAACACAATCATCCCCAGTTGAGAACCACTAAGCTAATGTTGTTCTTGTCCTTTGCAGAGCTTGATTCTAAAGAGGGAGACTGATGTTTAAAAAAATAAATATATTAATTACAAATTGTAGAAAGTGCTGTAAAGGAAGTAAACAGCATGGCATTATAGTGATCAGGAAAGGACTCTACTTTGCATAGGTAAGGTGGGCAGTGATGGTGTCTTTTAAACTTAGACCTTCTTGAAAGATGAAAAGAAGGTGGCTAACAGTATAATGAAGGCTGCATGAGGCACAGAGGACAGCAAGTGACAACAGTGATTCTGAGAAGGAGGAGAGAGAAAAATACTGAACTTTTTTTCTCTGAGAACTACATCTGCACTTAAAGAGCTCTGCCTCTCACAGCTTATTGAGTCAGTGGTAGACACGTATCCAAGATGGATCAATTAGATTCTCTGGGAACTGGAATTCAGTTGTGGGGCCCCCATGTCTGTTTAGAAGCCGGAAGAGACTGTCCTCAGAGAAAAGTAGAGTTAGTGGTCATTGCCAGCTTTGGTTCCTGGGGCCACTCTTTCAGGCTTCCTTCTCACTCTCTGCCTGTACCTTCTCAGTCTCCTCTGCAGGCTCCTCTTCCTCTCCTAAGCATTTTAAGTCAGTGTCCCTTAAGGCTAAACTGTGAACCTTTTACCTTTTTCCTAGGGGATCTTATCCTTGTCCATGGCTTGAACTACCACCTACATGAAACAACTCTCATGTGTCAAAAGCCCAGACCTCTGACTCCAGAAGTGGGTGTTCATCAGCACCAGAAATTTCCATCAGGAGTACCTCAAATTCAACATGGCAAGACAGAATTCATATTCTCTACAAACCTACTGTCTTTTTATTCTCTAGTTTAGGGGAAAGAACCACCATCCATCTACTCATGACTCAGAAACCTAGGAATTATTCTTGATACCTCATTCTCCATATCTAATCCATCACCTGATCTTGTCTCCACTTGCCTGTCTTGACATTTCTCTTTTCCAGACCAGTCATTTCTGCCATAGACATTACTAGAGCCTAACTGGCATTCCTATATGCCGAGTCCTCTCATCCAATCTGTTCTCCTTACTAAAGCCCAAATGATCTTGTAAAGACAGAAATCCAATGCCACGTCTCTTCTCCCTCCCGCTTAACACTATTCAGAGACTTCCCTTCATTTTTAGGATGAAGAGTAAGATCCTTGTGATGGCATCTGAGGCCTCATGTAGTCTGGCTGCTGCAGACCTACCCTCCAGCTCTCCCCTTTCACCACTGTGACTCTCTTCGTGTTCACAACACCCTCCCCTTTCACAGGAATGCTGCACTTCCCTCAACCACAGGCCTTTCAATGTCCTGCCTTTGCTCTGGAACATTTTTCTCCTAACCCACTGCTCCTTGAAACTGCAGCCCAAATGTCACTTCTTTGGGACATCTTCTCCAGCATCCCACTTTATTCAGGTTCCTTTGTGCTATATAAACTTTCAGAGAACTATGTTCCTTTCTTCACTGTACTTTAGAATGATGCATTCATTAATGTAATTTTTAAAAATCGGTGCCTCTCTCCCATTAGGTTGTAATTGACATGAGGACAGGGACTGACAGATGATATATATTTTGAGGTGGGAGATGAAGGGAGAGAAGGAGGTTGAGAAACTGCCTTGGGTCTTGAATTTCTAATTGCTGATTCCAGGCACTTGTGAGAGCTGACTTCACTTTCTGCTGTCAAGCTAGCTCACGGAGGTTTTTATTATTTGCGATCCCCCCAAAAATACTGGCAAGATACAGCAGGTGAGAAACTCCATTGGAGATACAGCTTGAACATGAGTGTGCATTTTTATGAAATCATTAAATAGCCTGATGTGGCAACCTGCTTTTCTCTTTTGGGTCTTTAATCCTTTATCTGGAGGATGCATTGTTTTTGGGGGGGAAGCACCAAGATAATATGGCAATGTCTTAAAAAAACAAACTGGCCTTACATCAGTAAGCTTTCCTGGGAGACTCTAGCGGCAAAAACTGTTAAACACCCCATAAACAGTGGACACCCCACAGTGTCTCAGTTCCCTTTTCAGTGAGGAATTAACACTTAAGGAAGTCCAAGGCCTGTGGCCCACGAAGGAGCGTTACAGAACATGGTGTGCTTAGAAAGAGCACTGGACCTTTGGTTTATTTCTTCATCTGTAGAAATATAGCATACCGGTATTCTACAAGTGCTGCCTCTTCAAGCACTTTAGATGATACTTAAGCAATCCTTTATTCTGTGAACATTTATAGAGTGCCTACTGGGTGCAAGACAGAGCAGGCACTGGGGGGAGGCTGAGGTGAAGGGAACAAAGCCCTTATGCTCGAGCTTTGGTGCAGATAAAACCTTATCAGGGAGGTCTTCTCTGAGCACCCCATCTCAGTAGCCCCTCTTCCCTGCTTTTTCCCCTCTCCTTGCCCTGTTTCATCATCTTATGTTATTTGTTTACTGATTATCTGTCTCTCCCTACTCGTGCCCCCATAAATCCACTAGAAGAAAGACCCACGAGGAAAGGAACTTAGTTACATTCTCTACTAAAATGCTTTTGCATAAAACAGTGCCTAGAACATAGTAACTCCCCTCAAAATATTTGTTGAATAAACACCCCCCCCCCCCCCCGGAAAATATTTGCAGGTCCAGGGTTTTGACAAAGGTGGGTCAGCTTACCCTGGGGTAATGTTGATAGGAAGGGAGCATGCAAAATTGTCTTTGGTCCAGGGGAGAGAGTTAGCCCTGATTAGTGGATAAAAGAAAATCTTTAGCTAACTTCCTGTTTTGCTAATAGCTGGATCTCAGATTCTCCTAAATGTTTATCCAGGATAAAGCCATCCCAGGGTTTGTACATTTTAATTGCCAAATAACCTCTAGTCTTAACCCCACCTAATCCATTTTACATTCTGCTGCTATAATAACTTTTCTAATATGTGGAGCTGTTTATCTTGCTACCTATTTAGACCAAGACGTGGATCCTCAGAGCCACAGATAATCACCAGGGATCTTTGCAAGGCTTAGCGTTGCTTCAGGATCTGTTCCCTGCTCACCTTTCTATCTCATCTTAAATCCTTCCACAGTCCCTGGCAACACTTACACATACCTTGTTGTTTCTTGCCTTTCTTTGCTCAAGTTGGACCTACTTGTAGAAATGTCATTTGCCCTTTTTGTTTGAGAAGAAAACTCAGAAGGTCTCTCCTGAACCCAATTTGTTGACCCCCCCCCCAAGTCGCGAAGAGAATAGTGTTCTGCAATTGTTCCTTCTTTCCCCTCCCCCCTTTCACACCAAGTTGTCACAGTCCGAACTGGCCCTATCACTTGTCTACTATTGTACTCCCAACACCTGGCACAGTGCCTGGCATGGAGGGAACAGATGCTTAAGACCCCAGCCTCCATAAATTTTTTCTCTCTGTTCAGAGCTTAGTGTCTCCCACACCCTTTCTCGTACCACCGCTGACAACCTTGTGATACTCACCTTCACCTGCATTTCTCATTTCTCCATCTTTGGGAGAAGGGCTCCTGGTCCAGGACTCTGCTTTTCCTGGTGCCCACTTCCAGTTCTAAGCAACTAAAAAGGCAGTGAAGCAGACCCTGCTGGGAATGTTAGCTGGTCTCCAAGGCAACAGACTGCACCACTGCAAATGTGAGGCAGCAACAGGGAAAAACCTTCCTCCTGGAGGGGGATGAAATCGCCACTTTGTTAACACACTGCCCCCTCCCCTCCCCCCAGCACTCTGCCTTTCTCCTTCCCATGAAAGCCTGGAAGCAGGATTGGGACCTTTTCCCCAGTTTTAGAACCTCTGGGACAACAGAGAACTATGGTTTAGACCAGTAGAGCAGTGGTGGCGGCTGCCTTCCTGTGGCAGGAACTGAAGAGACAGCAGACAACACGTTAAAGGTATTAGAGGCGGTAACCTTCTCTCCCTCCTCAGATTCCCTGGGGTCCCTGGGAGGGTCTTGCAGTCTCCCTCCCCCACCCAAACCTGGTTAATACAATAACAGGCTTAGTGACCTGTTAGCATCAGAAGAGAGCATGTACCGAAACAGTTCCCAAACCCAGGTGCCCTTCAGAGTCACCTGGGTTGCTGGTGTGAAAACACACACACAGTCCCATCCGGGAGATAACTGTGGCAAATTGTGGGAACAATAATCTTTGACAATGGCCTCAGGTGATTATGATGTAACCAGCCCTAGCCCATAGTTAGGGATTTCTTCAACTCCTTTTATGGATGTCGAAAGAGACAAAGTGATTTACCGATGTCAACCAGCCTGTGTGGCCTGTATGTGGCTGAGGAAATCTGCACTTAGTTTTTCTCATCCAGGTCATTTCTCAAATCACTGTCTGCTCTTTCTGAACCTTGGATTTTGACATTTAGAACATACGCAGCTGGTGGTAGTCCTCATACAGCAGGGACTCCATCAGATGCTGCCCCCTGCAGTGGCTTCCATAGTCCAGGTCAGAAACAAAGCCCCCACGACAAAAACGGCTGATCTCCCACCAGTCACTCTGGGCAGAAGTCATGGATAGAGGGCAACATGTGTAAATCCAGGGCATTAGTCAACATCACCAAGGCAGGAGACAAAGGAGATCAGAAAGAGGTAAGGAAGTCAGGAGAGGTAAGAATCACAAGAGGCTGAGAGCAACCAACCATCAATGGTTATTCCATGAACAAGGGAGGTCTGTAAGGGGCAAGGGGGAGGTGAGGGCAGGTTGAAAGAAGGTGAAGGGATTAGACAAAGAACATATATATAATACCCATGGACACAAACAATGGTGTGGGGATTGACTATAGGAATTGGGGGAAGGCTTGAGGCAGGAGAAAAACTGGGATAACTGTAACAGCATTAAAAAAAAAGGTGAGGTCCTTGTGCCCACCTTCCTGAAAATCCTGGGTAGAAGGAGCTGACAGGTCCCTGTGAAACCATTTTTGGAGACATGGGGGCCCAAGACACAGCTCACCACCCTCACAACTTCCTCTGCTCTTGGATACATAGGTTTTTAACATTTTACAAGAAGTAAAACCCAGCATTGCAAAGTCATTACTGCTTTTTTTCTGCTTGAGCTTACATAACACATATTCTGAATGTGAACCAGATGGATGACAAAGAAGGGTAAGTTTTTTAGGTTGTATGACCAGCCAAGAGGAAAGCTACGCGCAGGCACTGTCTTGCAGCAATCCTCAGACCACATGTGGCTCATAATGGACCCCATGTAAAGGGAGCACAGTAGGAATTTCTCTTACCTTGATCAGCTACCTTGATTAGGTTCTTGGTACCTGATCAAGGTCAAAATCCCTGACATTTACTTAGGAACACTAATCTGGTCCCATTACACAAAATATAATTGCTATGGTCTGAATGTTTGTGCCCCAACAAAGTTCCTATGTTGTAAAACTAACCCCTAAGGTAATGGAATTAGGAGCTGGGAATTATGATTAGGTCCTCATGATTAATGCCTCCTGAGTGGCAAAAAAAAAAAAGAAGTCAGACAGAGCTCTGTATCCCCCTTCCACCACGTGAGGATATGAGACATCTGCAACCCAGGGAAGGGAGGGCCCTCATCCGATCATGTTGGCAATCTGGTCTTGGACTTTCAGCTTCCAGAACTGTGAGAAGTAAAGTTTTTAAAGTGATGTTGCAATGAACATAGTTTTACATCTTTGTGTATTGAGATTTTATTTGTGTAAGATAAAGACATGAAAGTAAAATGTATGAATCTAGGGACTTTAAAAATAAAAAATCCCTAAAATGGAAAGTTTTCAGTTCACAGCAGGCTCACTTTTGGTGGCAAAATGAGTTGAGGGACGAGGTTAGTCAGTGTATTCTACTCAGTGTGAATTTTTAGACATTTTGTGATTATGTCATGTCACCTCGGTCTCTGGTGGGGATGTGACATAATGCATAATATAAGCATGTCACTGATTTTTTTAATCTGAAAAATACCAAAGCTCTTTTAACTTTTCGATAAATGCTATTGTATAGCAGTGAGTCCCTATAATCCTCATGTATTGGAATAAGCAGATAGTGATGGCTCGGATAACTTTGTTTTTAGCAATCTACAATTCCCTTTTGTTTTTTAAAAATTGAGATATAATTGGCATATAACAATTAGTTTCAGGTATATAATAACTTGATGTCCGTATATATTGTAAAATAATTACAATTTAGTTAACATGTAGTAAAATTTGCTTTTTACAAGCTCCCTAACCTGTGATATTTCATTACAGTAGCCCCAAAAGACTAAGACAATGTCATTATGTTGTAACAGGGGACACACCCATGGAAATAGAAAAGGGGTTTGAGCTGCACATATGTGACTGGAGACTTTGCCCCCTTGCTGAACGTGCAGCTGGAAGAGGGACAATGACAAACATGGCCAACACTGGCCCACATTGTTGGAAAGCTGGACACTCCCACTGCCTTTTGGCATGCATGGGATTCTGCGAGAGGACTTTTATTTTATTATTATTTTTTAAAATTTTATTTAGTTATTTTTCGAGTACAGTTTTTTGTCTATTTTTCCCATCCCAGCCTCCCCCGCCCCTTGCTCCCCACCTCCCTCCCATTTCTACCCCCCTTAGTTCTCGTCCCTGTGTCCTTCCTATTTGTTCCTCCAAATCCCTCCCCCTTTTTCCCCTTAACTTCCCTTCCTTCTCCCCTCTGGGCACTATCCCCTTGTTCTCTATTTCAGTGTCTTTGTTTTTTTTTTTCTGCTTGCTTGTTTGTTTTGTTGTTTAGCTTCCTGTTAAAGGTGAGATCATATGGTATTTGTCTTTCAGCACCTGGCCTATTTCACTCAGCATAATGCTTTCCAGTTCCATCCATGTTGTTGCAAAAGGTATTAGCTCCTTCTTTCTCTGGGAGAGGACTTTTAAAATGGAGTGTACCAGGAAGGGAAAAGTCAGTTAGTTCTTTCCCCTCCCCTGCTGGGGAGGGGCATGTCGATCGATGGTCTCCAGCAGGTCTGCCAATGGTGGCCAGTGTGGACCTGTGAGTGGAGGAGGCCTGGGGCAGACTCCAAAAGGTACCTGAAGCTGGACAGTGACTGGAGGCCAGCTAAGCCACCTACCTATGTTTACTGTACTTTTGGGTGGGAGAAGAGGTTCCTGGCATAACCCTGAACTGAGCTGGCAAAGGATGACAGGGTGATTTTTCTTTGGGTGTCTTAGAGGACACCCAAAAGTGGCTTAAAGGCTTTGAGGCAGAAACTTGCCATTATTTCCAAATACCCTGGTGATAATTCAGCACTGTGAATAGATTTTTTGTTCATTTGTTACTTTCACAAATGACAAATATTGTCACTTATAGTTGTAATGACAAATATTTACATAGCTATTTTTGATGTCATACTCTTGACTTTTCCTTTCCCTTTACTTTTGTTACCCAGACATTTTAGGCAGAAACTTGCCATTAAATAAGATTCCTTTCTTTTCCTCCAAAGTCTGTCTTTGGAGATTTGCCTGGTAGGGGGCAAGCAGTAGGACCTGCCCCTGCACCCTCCCCCCACGCCTGCCCCCACTGGCTGGTTTTGGTAACAATGTGGTATATATTTTTAGACATTAATTGATATTTTGCTCTATTTCTTACCTCTATTTCAAGCCAATAGCAGGTGCTTCTTGTTGGGTTGAGAAGTAGTGGCCTGAAGTGAACAGTTTCCTCAGTCTTTTGTAAAAGCCTAACAAGTGAATTGAAATATTAAAGTAACATGTCAAAGCAAAGTAAGGGGTGTGTGTCAAGAGGAAAGTGGAAGTGCATCAAGAGTCCTTCCATGAGAAGAGACAGAAGCCCAACTCAAACTGGCTTAAGGCAAAAAAAGAGAATGTGCTCAAATGACAGAAAATCCCAGGTATAGTTCTGACCCAAAGGCTAACATAACGTTAACAGAAATCTGCCTCCATTTCTCATCTTCTTTTCTTCTAGGATAGATTTATTCTCAGGCAGGTTCTTTGTGAGTGGCTGACTTGGACTCCCGCAGCACTCTTTTCCCCACACAACTTAGAAACCCTAAAGGAAGAACACCCCTTTTTCAGAGTTCCAGCAAAGTCCTAGTCTTGGCTTTGGTCACATCATGTGCCTGTTCCTGAACCTGGCCAGAATGGCCTCTGTCCAGCCCTGAAGCCAGAGAAACCATTCAGCCTAAAGGTAGGAAAGGGGCTGTTTTTCAAACAAAAGAGTTGAGTTTTGTTTGTGTCTTTTAACAAAAAAGATTTTTATTTAGAGAGAGGGGAAGGGAAGAAGAGTGGGAAAGAAACATCAACATGTGGTTCTCTCTCACCTGCCCCCTACTGGGAACCTGGCCCACAACCCAGGCATGTGTCCTGACTGGGAATAGAACTGGTGACCATTTGGTTCACAGGCTGGAAGTCAATCTACTGAGACACCTCAGCCAGGGCTCTTTGTGTATTTTTACCAAAGGAGACATAGGTACCAGAAGAACATACCTCTGCGGGAAGCCAAAGGAGTCAGGGAGGATAATTCCCAGACAGAGTTCAAGAAATCACAGATCTGAAAATCAGAGAGAGCAGGGCCCTGTTCAGTGTTTGGTAGCAATGCTTCAGGGAGATGGCAAAATATAAGAGGAAACAAGACCTTGATGTACCCAGGGGGAAAGTCTACAGGCATGGGGGTTTGAGCTCACCGAAGGTGACCACAGCCCAAGTGTGGGCTGGACATAGAACTATTGCACCACTCAGCCTGGGACAGTTATATCGCAGCAGTAATTAGTGCAGACAGATGACAAACTACTGGAGGGACCTTCCTAATGTTTGAATCTTGGCCTTCTGCATTAGCCCAGCGTAATCCAATAACCAACAGATTTTCCATCAACAAGGCGGAAGGACCTAGCTGATGGCCTGCTTGGGAAAATTTCCCTGGGTGCTCAATTCCCAAAAGGACCCCAATAAAATCAATGAATAGCATCAGGTAGCTCACCAACCAAGAAAGTTGGCCCTGCAAAATACCACTTAGCGACAACTCCAGAGATACAGCTTGACAAGAAGAGGGAAATGATGGAATTTAATAACTTACACACTGTTTTTTACCCCAATAAAATGTAACATTCACAGAGCATTTCTAAGTAGGACTACCTCTTACGGTTGGTTGCATTCCACAGCCAAAAGAGGCGAACTATTGATTTAGCTGCTCATGCCTGAGAAAAAGAAATGTAACTGGGACAAGCTATTTTTATTCCTTTCAACAAGCCAAACTGGTTATGTGGGACAGCAGAAGTACTCCCAGATATGAAGTCGGGGAACTAGGTGTGAAACCAATTCACCAATGACAAGTTATAAAGCTTTGGGTAAATTGTTTACCCTTTTTTTAATTGTTAGAATTTTATTAAATATTGGTAAGCAAACAGGAGTGGTGCACACTTTGGTTGAAGAGTCCAATTGTTCATCTTTCTGATCCTTAGTTTTTGTAGTCTATAAAATACATCCTCCTATTCCACAGGCAGAGAGGCTACATCAAGATGACATGGAAAAGTACATAAAATGAATTTAATGTTCATTTTTCTCCAAATTTTTAATTGAATGCCACTATTTCTTAACCACAGTACTTAAAAAACATGAATTGCCTTAAAGAGTAGTTGATATACTTTTAGTTAATGTCAGGTTACTATGGTACCTAGAAAGTTTCTGTTATCTAAGGTCTAAGTTCAGCAGCATTATTTGCTATAACAAAAACTTGGAAAAAACCTAAATATGCATCAACAGAGGAAGAGATTAGTACATACACACACACTCACACACACACACACACACCTCTGCAGCCATTTAAAATGAAGACCTATATTTACTGACACAGATAGACAAATTAAAAAGTAGTGGTAGATACATATAGTGATCTTGCCTTTATTAGAACTGAACAAGATATATATACCTAATAACTGTTAAAAATAGTAAAGTCTGGAATGTGGGTTGAGGGGGAAGAAAATGTAATTTCCTATATTCATTAAAATGTGTTAACAGATGTGTTAACTGTTAAAAAATTCTTTTGTCCTATTTAGGGTCATGGTAATGTCCTTCTCCACAACAGCACTTAGGACAAGAAAGTTTTTGATGACCCTGAAAGCAGAAATGACATATGTGAGTCAGGGTGAGCCTGCAATGCAAGTCCATTTTGCTCCACACTAATTTCATTAGTAAAATACGTAGAAGACAAGACTTTCTTAGACAAGTGGATTATTTTTTTCCTCTAGAGCAATGTCTTATGGATAGTGAAAAGGAGGGTTTTTCAACTGCATTTGTATTTTGCCATCAAGAAGAAGGCAATGTAAAGGAGTGAGTTTTTACTTTTCAATTTAGGAAAACACTAGAATTGTTTCAGACAACTAAATTAAATATTTAAACAACACAAAGGATGCCAGAGTCAAAACACAGCATTAATTTTACTGAGTTATCCTGACAAATAATAAATAGGGATTGACCTATTAGTAACCAAATACACTGGCAATATTTACTTAAGTGCCAAAAATGGCCAGTTGGACATAACCACATCTAAAATGAGATCAAATTTTTTAGTACATCCCTTTTAGCAGAAATAATTAAGACCATTTTGGCAGAATCAAGTTTTTTTTTTAAAATTGTTCAATTACAGTTGTCCCCATTTCCCCCCTATTATTCTCCTCTGCCTTTATCCATGTGTCCTTTACATATCTTCCCTGAAAACCCTTCCCCTTCTTTCCCTGTTATCCCTCTCCCTCCTCTCCTCTAGTCACTGTCAGTTTGTTCATCTCCATGTCTCTTATGAAACATATCAAACGTGTGGCTTCAAGAAAATGAGGACTACACAAGTTGAGAAGCCTCCAAAGCGCTCTCAGGATAAACAGAGTGCTTGCAACATTCTGGTCCTCTGTGTATCAATATTAGAACACTGTGAGCTCAGTAGAAGTGTCTCCAGTCGACAGAAATATCCCAAAGAGGTTAATGAAACTGGGATATTATAGTAAAATACTTAACAAAATGACTATACTTGCTGATCTAGGCAAGCTTCTGTTTTCAGAAGTTCACCCCTGGAAGATAGGTGACTTGGTCTTTCAAATCTCCAGGACATAGTTTCATAATTTTCCTTTATACCCAGCCCCAAATTTAGTTATGATAATTCATGAGTAAAGCATTGGGGCAGGTCCTTGGAGAACACGAGAAAGACACATTCCTTGCATGATTACTAAGTTTATAATCTAGTTATAGAGAAATATTAATAACGACGATGGTCCTGACATTTGAATGCTTACTATCTACTAAGAACTTTCCATGCATTACCTCATTTAAACCAACAATAACCCTATGATGTAGGTACTATTAGCCCCATTCTACAGCTGAGCAAACCAAGGCTCACAGACGCTAAGTGATTTATTAAGGGTCACACAGCTAGACTAGTGGAACAGAAATTTGAATCCAGGCAGTTTATTTCCCTCTAGTAAGTTCTGTTACAGAGGTATAAGCAAAAGAAAAACAGCACGGAGGGTTAAATTTATTTCAAATATGTGAGGAATTAGAAGACAGTGCAAGGAGGAAGAGATATAGACACAACCAAGACAGATAGCAGGTGTAGTGAAAAAATGAAGTCTGGTCTGTCAGTGAAGAGAGTGGTGGGAAATAAGACTGAAGAGACAGCTTGAAGCCAAACCATGAAGGGTTTTCCATGCTATGCTAAGAAGTGTGGGTTTCATCGTGTAGCCAGGGGAAATAACAGGGACTTGAATAAGATAATGTTTCCATTTGTTAAGACTATTTTGGCATAAATTATTTGGATGGATTGAAATAGATAATTAATTAAAGATTGGTTCTATCCTGTGTTGGTGCTTGTCTGAGACCTAGCTGTCTGATTTTGACAAAGTCAATAGGCCTGAGTCCCTGACTTCTTCATTTGGACAGCAGACACACTTACCACGCCCCTGCAGATTTCATCAGCTCTGAAATTTTTTCAAGTCTCATGAAAAAAATTTGTTCTTGAAATTTAATCTTGGGTGGTCTTAGTCTATGGACCTGGGGCTGATCTGTACAAACCTTAAATGTGCTTGAAATGATCATCTCAGTATTTTCTTTTGCTGGGAAAATAACCAAAATTCTAAAAATTTATACAGCATTATGCTTTCTATCTTTAATACCACTTATAAATAACTACTTTTATTTTGTTGCTGGGTAACTGTGACCCAGAAGAGTTTACTTTGCATAAAGTACTCTAGTCTTGGTGTTTTTTCTATAACCTTCTTATATAGTGGTTAGAATGGAATTGATGGGAGACTACGTAACAATAAGGTATTTTTGAATCCATGTTTTTAGAAACAGTCTGTTGCCTTTTTATACAGTATTAGCAAAATAAAAAATGTGCTTCCCCCCAACTTAGTTCAGTTTAAGCCTACCATTACAACTTCCAGTTGATCTATTCTTTAATAGGTTTATAAAAAAGAACTCTTCAAATATCTCTATAATCTATGTTACAAATCAGGATAAGGTTCAGATGGTGCAAACATACAGTCAAGAAATCATCCCCATTTACTTGGAACTTTCTCAGTTATAGCATTCAAAGTCTCATGTCCCAGGAAACCCCTCAGTCTTAGGCAAACCAGGACAGTTGATTATCCTAAGAAAATACCCATAAGCTCCACAACTGAAGAATGTCCAAACCCTACATTGCCTTTATCTCCTAGTTCCCTACCATGTTCCTGAAGAGGCCAGGAAACAGCAGCAAAGGGTAAATACAGTGTTTTATTTGATCCTTAGTTATTATTAGACTGGGCTCATCTCAATAACTCCACAGCTCAAGGAAAGCTGTTTGCAATGAAGCACATGGACAAATCTAGACACCAAGGGTCTCTATTACTACTTCAACCAAAATTTCAAATCTCAGAAGCTAAGACCCCTTGGTCTGCAGTAAAGCAGAAACAGAAGACTGAAGCAAAGATGAATGGGCTTATTAGGTCTTTGTGCAAGGAAGAAAAATAAAAGATGGCTAGTTTTCTTTCTCCTACTTCAGGAAACATGATACAGAAGAAAGAGCAACATTTGTATGGTTTATTCTTGCTGAGTGACTCTTCTTATTGGTAAACATGGCCTAGTCCATATTCTGGACTATTAATAGCATCTCTTCTCTAGCAGGAGAGGTAGGAGTGGAAAAGGAAGGAGAGGGGAGACCTTTTCCACCACATGCTGCTAACAGCAAAACGAAAGTAAAAGGCAAGGAAGTGTTACTGTGTGAATGAATATGTGAAACCTCTTTAAGGAATCAATTTTGAAATAAATTTTTAAAATCAAAGCTTATTTCAAAGTAATAGAAGCCTTTTGTTTCTTTAGTAGACAATTTATTTTGATAAACTTGCTCCATAACAAAAATACAAGTGAAGAAAATTATGTTCATTTTATACAGTTCGTATTAACAATCTGTTTTGAAACTATCAATTGAAAAATGTTATAACCAATTAGAAAACAACTCTTAAAAGTTTAGGGCAATATACAGACCTTGATCACAAACTTCAAAATCTCTTGAGGTGATACGACTACTAAATTCTGTGTAGGGAATCCAACCTACACAGGCCACTTTCTTCCTTCATATACTTTTATCCTTCAAAAATCAGCTCTAAAAGACAGCTTACTGTTTTGTATTGTGAAAGTAATTTCAACTTTTAGAAGATGATTAAATGGGTTGATAAACAGTTACTACAATCAGAGTAACCATGGCTAGTAGTCTTTTAATAAAGACAAAATAAATGTAACATGTTCTTCCTATGAAGCCCATGATGCAAAATAATAGCTAAGCATATATGCAGAGTTAGTTTCCCACTTTTCAGGGCCTTTCCGCTAAATCAATAGATTGCATGTCACCAGGACTACTTATTATTATACTAAAGCAATTAAACAGTGAATTCTCAGAACATCAACTAGAAATACCAAAGCTTTAGACAAAAGAGTAAAAATTAATGAAGTGTTTGGTCTCCTAAAACATTAAAAAAAAAAGCCATCCTTCAAAAACAAAACAAATGGGACAAAAATAGGTTTATAAGAAGTAGAAGAGTCAGACTACATACACACATTAACAACATAGAACATGGATTACCTTTGGAAGGGATTATACTGAAAAAATGTTTTAAATGAACTGAAGTTTTTCCACATTTACAGATGTTTAGGCATATGTAATAGGGGCTTCCAAAATTTTCAAACTAAGTCCTGTGCAAATAAAACCTACAACTAGTTTTTAGCATATTTTACAGTGATGTTCTTAGGTATGAGAATAATGCACACTCTAAAAACAATGTAACAGACAAAAGTTTGACAAATGATTGCACCGTAAAAGTGTTTTATATACAGTTTACAAGCTAAGATTTCCTGCTATAAATTAATACTGTACTATATAGTACTTACTATAGTGACCTTTTTAAAGCAACTGCTGATAGTTGTGTCTTTTCACTTACAGGATGTATAGAATTTTATATGAATAAGTCTATTTCAATGTTGGTCTGGAAGAGTACAAAGATTTGACTTCACATACTTGATGGGACAGTTTTAACCCTGGGCTGACTGGTTAGAGTTTTGTTCATCAGTCCTTAATGTACTGGACCTCCAAGATGATGATGAAATTAAAGACAATTTGATGGTTTGGATAATAGATACAAATAAAACCTTAAATCTTGTCATCTTGTAATACCACTGTAAGTGAAAGAAGTAAACAGTGGGGAAGCTCTTAGCAGCTGAGAAACTCTCTCTCCCCATGCTCATGATCCAGTTTAAAATATTTTGAGACTATTTACAATAAAATTCACCTTTTGGAAGAGAAAAACTCTTGGTTATATAAATTAATTTGAAACATACTTTGCTAACACCTTATGTCTGGTATAATGATGACAATGATAGCTTTCCTTCAAAGTGACCCATCGTGACTGAGGACTAATCAAATTCCCCTGGGAATGGCAATCCCAAATGTCCAACTGACTAGACAACACTTGGGGAAAAAGAATCGACTTCAAGCATCTTCTAAGATTTCTTTAACCCTAGGAAGAAAATGTGTGACATTCACTGGTACCATTCAAGGAATGCATCACAGTGGTGGCCCACCTCTTACCCCCATTCTTGAGTGAGCTGCAACACTGGGGTTTTCTTCCACATTAAAATACTGATGAATTAACAGTCAGATACATAAACATTAAACAAGCCAGCATGGAAAGAAAACATCAGGTTCCTCCATTTCATATTTTGAATAATTGAGAAGGTAGCCCCATCTCTGTTGCAATCATTCTCTAAAATGTAGAATCTAGGTTTTTAAAAAACAATGCATTCATTTGTTGGTGTGAAGCTGTACTATATAATAGATGGACTACCCAGGACTCTACTGATGGACATTTGGGGTGCCATTTCACTATAGAGAAGAAAAACAACTCCACTGCCTTGAAATCTTACTTTCATTGCCATGAAAGACCTCTCCTGCCCCACATTTGAAATAGGAGATGATCTATAGTGTTCACCTGGAAAAACTAAGCACTGAGACATGAAGGCATGGAAACATAGAGAAGAGAAATACTGTGTTTTAAAACTGTCTGTGGATTCAAGGGTTAGCTATAGTGCTTCTTTTAGGGAAAAAAGATAAAGGTGTGGGTGGAGTATAGTCCTTTAAAGTAAATGCAAAAATGTTAGCTTTCCTCAAACAAAGGTATATGGCATATAAAGAAAATACTGTATCACCGGGGTTTTTGGTAAAGGAGATGTATTAATAATGCTTATGGATAAAAAGAACATAAACTTGATTTTATAGCAGAGTGATATTGGTGTTGTAAATAGCCAGAATACTGTAAATTGATAATGCTAGTGGACTTCGTATTTATGTAAAGTTGTATGCTTGTACACAGAAAATGCATAATTAATGTAAGAGTCAGCCAGTAAAAAAAAAAACCTCTGTACAACAGATGACTGCCAATAATTTAAATAGTGTCAAATTCCCCAAATTACATATTACTTTCTACTATCATATACAAATAAATTAATCCTACAAAGAATTTTAGCTTAATTTAAAATTGCACCTAGAAAGATATGGGATTATTTGTACCTATTACAAAAACCTGTTAAAATCAAGGGCTGTTACAAAGAATGAGGTAAACTGAAGACTCTCTCCACTATACAGCCTTCAGATAAATGGCTTTTTAAAATTGAGTCCTAGGTTTGCACACCACAGTGTTTTGCTAGCAAAGCATTCAGAGTTCTCTTCCAGAAACTGTTTGTATGTGTGTATTTACACACACACACACACACACACATATATATACACACTGTATATTGCATCACAAAATATATATTATATATATTTATATAAATATAATGAACATTTCCTCCACCCACCCACCCCAGCAACACGTTTCTTAGTGTTTGGTTTTTTTTTTGTACACAGAGAATAGGGAATTTCAGAATTTTTACATACATTTTAGCAAACAAGTTTTGATCTATTGGCTTCTTGGTGCAGTAACACAACAGCAATCCCTTCTGGTGCCTCATACTACTTACAAGGAAGCTGTGAATACTAGTTTCTTAAAAAGTGAGGCCAGCCCCACAGAAACTACTCTTGCATTCCTCTGGTCCACTGTGATTCATAAATACTTAGAATTTTTCCCCCTCAAATGAATCATCAGACATTAACAATGGAACAAGAGTCATAAGGGCCCCGTGCTTTTCAGTACAAAGTATTCTCCTTCACTAGGCTGCTATCACAGTACAGATTTGACTGCCTGAATATGTGCTCAGGAGACTTAGTCAACATTGTCTGTATTTGGTTATGAAAAAGGCTCTCAATTTTTTAAAAAATCCAAAGTGCATAGTGAGAACTAATCAAAGTATTTTTTTTTCAACATCAGTTTCACCTAAGCATCTTCCTAAGCGAGGACTACTCAGATGCCTTGCCTTTGTCCTCCCCACCCTCCAAAAATAAAAAAATAAAATAAAATTTAAAATAATAAAAATAGTCAAGCAATTTAGACATTCATCAGCCTGGTAAACAAACTTTGCCAGCAAATAGAAGTCCTACTATTGTAAAGAAAATTGATAAGACAAAAAGTACATATGATGACCCAACTACTGTGTTGTTGGGTAACTTATAAGGTTGACCTCCGACTTCATTGATGTAAAATCCTATTGGAAATATTAGGGCAGCCATACAGAAAAGGATCACTGTAAAACAAACCAAAACACAACATTAGTAACATGGTTTGGTGATTAGAAAGACAAAGAAAATTGGTACAAAGGAAGTTTATAAGAAGGGTTGTGGATTGGTAATATGGTCAAACCTGTTAAAATGTGAACCACCTGTCAAAAGATTTGCATATACTACAGATTATGTAATATCCCCAAAGCCTAACAATTAAATCCAGTAAAAGCTGGGGTTAGCCTTTCAAATATCAACATTAAGAAAGGTCCCCATGCCTACTAAGTACGTGCTTTTATTATTCTAGACCATTTAAAGTTGTGATAAGGGTTAAGTTCTGGCTATACTACTTACTAACTGTGCTATCTTAGGCTTTGGTACCCTTCTGCAAATGGAGTAAATGCTAGAAATATTAAGTTGGCCAAAAAGTCCATCTAGTTTTTTTCTGCAAAATAAAGGACACATTTTTCATTTTAACCAATAACTTTATTGATTTGGGTATTATGAATATGTCAGCTATCTCCTGCCACTGGCTTTTAGTAGATAAAGGCCAGGGGTGCTGCTAAACAGCTTTCAATACACAAGACAGCCCCACAGCAAAGAATTATTTTTGGCCAAAAAATATCAGTGGTACCAAGAAACTTCGCAAGCCACTTTTAACATGTTTGATCAATCACAGCACCTTCTTCATACACTGCATAAATCCTTTTTGTGTGTTTCAGTTCCCTTTTTACCTTTCTTGAAATAATAAAAGCATAATATGGCAAAAATGTGGACTTCCGGCCAAAATGGAGGAGTAGGTAGACACACTGTGCCTCCTTGCACAACCAAAAGAAGGACAACAAATTTAAAAACAAAACAAACAGAACTGACAGAAAATCAAACTGTATGGAAGTCTGACAACCAAGGACTTAAAGAAGAAACATTCATCCTGACCGGGCAGGAGGGGCAGAGACAGGAAGGACTCGCAACAAGGCGGCAGTTGGAGGACCTGATTGGGCAAGGCTATGGCTGGCGAACCCAGTGAGGTGGTAGATTGTGGACTGGGTGGTCTCACATTTGTGTACAGGTAAACTGGGAGGAACAAGTGGGGAGCAAGACAGACCACACAACCCAGAGTTTCAGTGCAGCGAAATAAAGCCTCAAACCTCTGATTGAAAACACCTGTGGGAGTTGAGGCAGCAGTGGGAGAAATCCCCAGCCTCACAAAAGAGTTTATTGGAGAGACCAACAGTCCTAGAATGTACACAATCCCACCCACCCAGAAATCAGCACCAGAACGGCCCAATTTGATTGTGGGTAGCGGAGAACGTGACTGAAAACCAGCAGAGATTGGAACAAGTGATACTGTTCCTTCTTGGGCCTCTCCCCCATATACTACAATGCCACAACACAGCGACATGGCTTGCCCCACCCTGGTAAACACCTAGGGTTCCACCCCTTATTACATAATAAGCATGCCAAGACAAAAAAAAAAAATGGCCCAAATGAAAGAACAGATCAAAGCTCCAGAAACAATACAACTAAGTGACAAAGAGATAGCCAACCCATCAGACACAGTTCAAAACACTGATAATCAGGATGCTCACAGAATTGCTTGAATATGATTGCAAATTAGATGAAAAAATGAAGGCTATGGTAAGTGAAATAAAGGAAAATGAACAGGGAATCAACAGTGACAGGAAGGAAACTGGGACTCAAATCAATGGAGTGGACCAGAAGGCCGAAAAACATTCAACCAGAACAGAATAAAGAAACATGAATTTAAAAAAATGAGAGGCTTAGGAACCTCCAGGAAAACTTTAAACGTTCTAACATCTCAATCATAGGAGGAAGATTCATCTGAATCAGAGGGGAAGAGGAAGAGCAACAAGTAGAAAAGTTATTTGAACAAATAATAAAGGAGAACTTCCCCAACCAGGCAAAGGAAATAGACTTCCAGGAAGTCCAGGAAGCTCAGAGGGTCCCAAAGAAGTTGGACCCAAGAAGGAACATACTAAGGCACATCATAATTATATTAGCCAAGATTAAAATGAAGGAGGGAATCCTAGAAATAGCAAGAGAAAAGGAGACAGTTACCTACAAAGGAGTTCCCATCAGACTGTCAGCTGATTTCTCAAAAGAGACCTTACAGGCAAGAAGGGGCTACAAGTATTTGAAGTAATGAAAGGCAAGGACCTACATCCAAGATTACTCTATCCAGCAAAGCTTTCATTTAGAATGGAAGGGCAGATAAAGCACTTCTTAGATAAGGTCAAGTTCAAGGAGTTCATCATCACCAAGCCCTTATTTTATGAAATGTTAAAGAGACTTATCTAAGAAAAAGAAGATAAAAAATATGAACAGTAAAATGACAACAAACTCACAGTTGCTAACAACCACATCTAACACAAAAGCAAAAACAAAGTAAACAACTAGAACAGGAACAGAACCCCAGAAATGGAGATCATATGGAGGGTTATCAGTGGGGGAGTGGGAGGGAGAGAGAAGGGGAAAAGGTACAGAGAATAAGTAGCATAAATGGTAGGTAGAAAATAGACAGGAGGAGGTTAAGAGTAGTACAGGAAATGTAGAAGCCAAAGAACTTACATGTATGACCCATGGACATGAACCAAATTAAAGGGGGGAAATATGGGTGAAAGCAGGTGTGCAGGTGGAGGGGAATAGAGAGGGTAACATGGGACAACTGTAATGCATCATAAAGTATATTAAAAATGTGACTTAAAAATGTTGTGTATCTTCACCTTCAATATTAAAATATCTACATAAAAATTCACCAATTTTGATAAGTTTTTTAAAAATGCAGGCTGAAGTGACAGCTTTCACAATACAATCTAACGAACTTGTTTCCAATGAAGTTAAAGACAACTAAGCACTACTAGAGCCATAGTAGGGAAAAAAAACTAAATGAACTCTTTGGCCAATACAATATAAACAAAACATTACTGAGTCCCTGACACAGTGCCTTGTTGACAGGTGCTGAATAAATATTGCATATTATCATCTTATGCAATGTTATTATTTTGCCAGTTCTTTGCTCCTCTAAATTGATATTACTTAGAAGGAATTGGAGAAAAGGTACATGCAAGTACCATTTACCTTAATCTGAGATAAAGTAAGCTTGTGGAAAGAACCTTACACTTCTGAGATGATTAGACTTCTGGGATAATTCTGTCAGAGTAGTTAGCTCTTATCATGAACAACATTTTAAAAAAACCCAAAACAAACAAGAATAACAACCCACCCATTCCAATCTCTCAGATTTCTGAATACAAAGAGGTTCAAGTGGGGGAGGATGGGAAAAGCTTTTCATTTTGTATACAAACATGATGAAATCTAATATTTGCTAAAATGTTTCTAGAAAAATATCAGAAAAACCAATGCATGGGTAGGAGTAATTCCACAGGCCACTGTATTAGCAAACAGTGTGTTCCCCTGTGCTACCAAAGAAACACTCTTCTTAGTGAATGCAAGTTACCTACAGATAGGTTAGCTTTTCCAAGAAAATAGTTGATGCTTTTTGAAAGCACATTGGTCAACAGTGCATAGTCATTCAAATCTCTCTGTAGGCAAAAACATTTCTTCAGGGTAATGTGAAGACAGATTATCATACTCAGAGTATATGAATGAGTTGAAGCTTTCCATTATTATCTGAATGAGAAAAGTTTCCAAGTTAGACCTCTTCCCAGGAATACTGAGAGAGTCCTGGATAATATATTAGATGACACTTGTCCTACATTACTTTTGTGTTAAGTCAACAAAGTTTAAGAGTCTTTAACAAGTCAACAGAAGTCTTTTCCTGGAATAGCTCTAGAAATGCATTAAAAAGTAACATTTTCTCAAATAATGCAGTAATTTAAGAGATACACTAGCACCCTTGTTTGCTTTGCACTATTTAGGTGAATTGTTTTATATTATACACATAGTCTATTTTATTTTGGGCAAATGATCACATGGAATAATTTTACATAAGCAAATCTGGATTCTTTTGGTCATTCTGTTGTATAGTCAGCATATAAGTAATTTTATCAGTGATGCCAATATCCACTTATCAGTATTACCTGCCACCAGTTTTTAATAGTTTTTAATGCTTACTAAGATTTGGTAAGTCAAAAGAAACCACAATCTAAGTAGCTTCACCTAATCTATAAAAATAATGGAATACAATTAGTTTTAAAAACAATTTGTTTCTTAATGACTAAGTTAATCTCAAAGACTAAATAATTTAGAAATATACAGATATTACATGTCACTCTGTTAACTGATGCGCTGATTTTTATGTCTATCCTTTCTTATTTTCCATTGTAAAATAAAAATCTATCCATTATAATGGAGTAATTGTTTAACATTTTACAAGACTTAATTATTTTCCAAATTGGTTAGGAAAAGCTTAATCAAATTTAAAAGAAGCAATGAACTCTTATTCAATCTAATTTTGAATAGATTGACTAGGCAATTTTGGTTTTCAAGCCAAAAAAATTACGTTCTCTATACTTCCTGAAGATATTTAATATGGGTAGGTGATTTTTCTTTTTATTTAAAAAAATTATTATTTATTTTTAGATAGAGGGGATGGGAGAAAAAGAGGGAGGAAAACATCAATGTGTGGTTGCCTCTTTAGTGCCCCCTACTGGGGACCTGGCCTGCAATCCAGGCATGTACCCTGACTAGGAATCGAACCAGTGACCCTTTGGTTTGCAGGCCCACAGTCAATCCACTCAGCCAGAGTAGCCAGAGCTGGTAGACAATATTCCCTTTAAGCTACTTCTTTAAGACCTGTAAAGTTACTTTAGATCTTAGAATATTATTTTTTCTCTTTTTAAAATTGAATTTATTGGGGTGACACTGGCTAAGAAAACCATACAAGTTTCAAGTGTACAGCTCAATAAAACATCATCTAATGCTGATAATATCTATCAACTTTTGACTGTTAAGTTCTGGGTCATAAATAAACCTATGAAGACATAACTTCATGTCCTCCATGATAGTGAGAGTCAGATATCAGGTGTGTAAATATGGTAGATGAGGATGTAAATTACAGTGGCAAAGGAAAGGACACATCTTTGTTACCCTTTTCTCCCATATGCCAACTCTACCATGTGTGGTTCTCCTCTGAGAGATTTCTCTACTGTGTAAACCACACAGAAAATGTTACCCTCACATTCTTACCAAAACCACAGCTTAACTGGAACAGAGATGCGTACAATAGAGTTGATGATATACAATAGTGTAACACTAGGGGGAGCCAAATCTCTCTTGGAACTGCCAATCCAGTGGACTAGCTCTAGAACAAAAACTGATGTATTTAAGGAAGCTAAGAGTAAATGCAGTTCTATGTTACATAAATATCATTAACTTCAAGATACATTCTTGAACTAAAAACCAAGGTACAGAATAGTACAAACACAATAAATATATATTTATAGAACACTCAAATATATATAAACATATTTTGATGCATGGAATACCTCTGGTAGGAAACCCTAGAAACTAGTAACAATGGTTGCCTCATGGAAAGGAGTATTGGATATCTGGGTTACTGGGCCACACATGAGACTGACTTACTTTTCACTTGGTGACCCTTTCATAGACTTTGAATTACGTATTTTATGCATATTTATTTTTAAAAGTTAAATTATTTAAAAAACAAAGGAAAAACACACTGCATATGGAGGTAACTACATATACTTAAATATTCTCTATTGAAGGGGAATGAAAAACAAGATCATTGGTTCTTTACATTTATACTGGGTAACAAAAACAATGGCTCAGTGAGCACCTTAATACTTTCACTCATACTATTTTGCTAAATTATATGAGATTTTTTTCATATTCATAGCATATGCATTCCCAAATTTTAACTAAATCCAGAAAGTACATCCTTCCTTGATTTTACATAAAGAATAAATTTTATCTGAACAAGTACTGTACCTCTGAGTAAAGATTCTCTTTAAATTTCTCACCAGTACCTTTTAATTTAGCAGCATTGTCTCTGGACCCTACTATCTAGCAAAGAACTGTCTTGGGAGGTTTGTCCGACCTCAAACAAGGTCATCATCTTGTTTATACCCTTTGCTACAGCAAGAATGGAGCTGGAGACTATTGTGCTAAGTGAAATAACCCAGGCAATGAAATACAAATTCCATACGATCTAACTCACAGCTGGAATCTAAGGAACAAAACAAAGTAACAAAGTAATGAGCAAATAGAGGCACAGAAAGAAGGAACAGATTAACAGCTGTAAGAGGGGACGGGGGAGGTTGGGACTGGTTGAAAGAAGTGAAAGAACTAGACAAAGAACATGCATTCATCACCCATGGACATGAACAATGATGTGGGGACTGACTGTAGGAAGGGCGGTGGCAAAGAAGAAAAATTGAAACAACTGTAGTAGCATAAACAATAAAAAAAAGAGATCACCTCACCTCACATTTGTCTTAAATATATTTTATTGATTTTGCTATTACAGTTGCCCCATTTTTCCCCTTCATTCCCCTCCACCCTGCATACCCTCTTCTACCCACATTCCCCTCCTTTAGCTCATGTCCATGTGTCATAAGTTCTTTAGCTTCTACATTTCCCATACTATTCTTACCCTCCCCCTATTTTCTACCTACCATCTCTGCTACTTATTCTCTGTACCTTTCCCCCCTCTCTCCTCTTCCCACTCCCGTTTATAACCCTCTATGTGATCTCCATTTGTGTGGTTCTATTCCTGTTCTAGTTGTTTGCTTAGTTTGTTTTTACTTTAGGTGTGGTTGTTAATAATTGTGAGTTTGCTGTCATTTTACTATACATGTTTTTATCTTTTTCTTAGATAAGTCCCCTTAACATTTCATAAAATAAGGGCTTGGTGATGATGAACTCCTTGAACTTGACCTTATCTAAGAAGTGCTTTATCTGCCCTTCCATTCTAAATGAAAGCTTTGCTGGATAGAGTAATCTTGGATGTAGGTCCTTGCCTTTCATTACTTCAAATACTTGTAGCCCCTTCTTGCCTGTAAGGTCTCTTTTGAGAAATCAGCTGACAGTCTGATGGGAACTCCTTTGTAGGTAACTGTCTCCTTTTCTCTTGCTATTTCTAGGATTCCCTCCTTCATTTTAATCTTGGCTAATGTAATGATGATGTGCCTTGGTGTGTTCCTCCTTGGGTCCAACTTCTTTGGGACCCTCTGAGCTTCCTGGACTTCCTGGAAGTCTATTTCCTTTGCCTGGTTGGGGAAGTTCTCCTTTATTATTTGTTCAAATAAGTTTTCCACTTGTTGCTTTTCCTCTTCCCCTTCTGGTACCCCTACACCCCTATAATTTGGATATAATTCGGATGTTGGAACATTTCAAGATATTGTGGAGGTTCCCAAGCCTCTCGTTTTTTTTAAAGTCTTGTTTCTTCACTCTTTTTTCCCCCATTTATTTATTTATTTATTTATACATACATACATACATACAAAGAGGAGAAGGGAAGGAGAAAGAGTGGGAGAGAAACATCAATATGTGGTTGCCTGTCATGTGTCCCCGCTGGGGACCTGGCCTGCAACCCAGGTATGTGCCCTGACTCGGAATCGAACCAGCGACCCTTTGCTTCACAGGCCCGTGCTCAATCCACTGAGCTACACCAGCCAGTGGCTCTTTATTCTTCTCTTGGTTGTTTCTTTCTTCCTTCTGGTCCACTCCATTGATTTGAGTCCCAGCTTTCTTCCCATTGCTATTGGTTTCCTGTATATTTTCCTTTACTTCCCTTAGCATAACCTTCATTTTTTCATCTAATTTGTGACCAAATTCAACCAATTTTGTGAGCATCCTGATCATCAGTGCTTTGAACTGTGCATCTGATAGGCTGGCTATCTCTTCTTCACTTAGTTGTATTTCTTCTGGACCTTTGATTTGTTCTTCCATTGGTGCCATTTTTTTGTTTTGTCGCACCTCTTATGTAGTGGGGAGCAGAGCCTTAGGTGTCCACTAGGGTGGCACAACCCAGTCACGGGGTTGTGACACTGTATGTGGGGGAGGGGTCAGCGAGGAAACAATGGCGCTTGCTCCGCTGTATGTCGGATTTCAGCCCCTTTCCCTGCCCCCCCCCCCCAAGCAAACTGAACCCTTCTGGTGCTGATTCTAGGACCTTGTGGGACTCTCCAACAAACCCTCCTGTGAGGCCGGGACTCTCTCCCGGCACCTCAACCCCTACAGGTGTTTTCAATCAGTGTTTTGAGGCTTTATTTCCCCACCCTGGGGCCCTGGGTTGTGCAATCTGTATTGCTCCCCAGTTTCGCCTGGTTTATCTGCACACAAACATATGACCGCCTGGTCAGCCAGCCACCTTGCACACCTCCTGGGTCTGCCCACTGCCACCCTGCGTACAGGGTCTGCCAGCCACTCCTTTTTTTTGCCGAGACCCCTTTCCACCTGGCTGTCCCACGCCACCCCTCCTACTGGTCTGAATGAATGTGTCTATTTTAACTCCTCGGTTGTCAGACTTCTATACAGTTCAATTTTCTGTCAGTTCTGATTGTTTTTTGGTTTCTAAATTTTTGCTGTCCCTATTTTGGTTGTGCTAGCAGGCACAGTGTGTCTACCTATGCTTCCATCTTGGCAGTAACTCGCCTCACATTTCTTAACAAGAACGGAGATTACTTTCTGTCAAAAAGCAACTTGACTTAAATTTTAAAATTAAGGTAGACATAGAGACAAAAATAAAACAACAGAACCAGAAACATACATTAAGAGAATGATACCCATGAATGAATATTCCATCTTATGGTCTTTAAGGATACATTGAGTTTTAACTTTAATAGGGATATGTAGGATTGTGCCTCACCCCTATCCTAGGAGTTCTAAAGGACAATATCAAGTGAAAGTAAGCTATGTTGTAATACTCATTTTTTAAAACATATGCAAACCTGAGATGATTTTAAGGCACCGAAAAGTTAAATCCAGTAGTATCTGGCGTAAGTCTCTTCATTCTGTCCCTCAGAGCAAGGTTTCTCAGCACAACCCTATTGGCCATTTTGAGCCAAAGAAGTCTTTGTTGTGGGACAATTCTGTGCACTTGTAGTATGTTTACAGCCTCCTTGGCCTCTACTCACTAGGTGTCAGTAGCATCTTCCCACTTATGACAATCAAAAATGTTTACAGACATTTATGAATGCCTCCTAGGGACAAACTGCTTTAGAGAGAAAGACGCAAGAAAGCAGAATTAGAGAGATAGCTTTTCTTTATACATTTTTGTTTCCCTAACTTAGGATCAGCCTCTGATGTGTTCTGAAATTAAACCAATTCCACAAAGTACAAGAGAATGTGCAATATATAAATATATCAAACCCTTGGGCACTTATTAATAGAGTAAGAAATGTTGAGAAACAATGATCAAATAACCAAATATGCTGATTTTTCAATGGTCACATACAACTAACAGCAGAAAGTAAAAATTAGTGGTATTAAAAAGCATATCAACACCTAATCTAATTTACACTTGTTATATTTTTGTCTAGATTTATCTTTATTTGACATAAGATACTAATACTTTCAAGAAGCAGAAAGACTCAGGTTAATGATAGCTCTGAGTCACAGGCCTGGAACACTATGTCACAACGTGAGCAGAAATAAAATTCATAAAATAGCATTTCATACAAAGTGATTAAGGTTTTGGATGTCCTGGTCTTGTGCTGAGAATTCTGAAGAATCGATGGGACTGTGCAGTTTATCTGACGGCCATACACAAGTGGTGCTCTTTGATGATTATAGAGTCCTTATTACTGATTCTTGATTATCTTCATAAAAATACCAGTGTGCATGCCTTTTAGACAAATTCCTAGCACAGGTTACTTACTTCCAGTGAATGCTATCCATCGAGCATATTTTGTAGCTTCTCTTCGCCAGTGGGAAGCCACCAGCAAACCACATGTGACAGTCAATGAAATGATTCCCATGATGATAAAAAACAGTGTGGTGACCCACTCTGGGGGAAGCCGAGGTGGGATGCATGTTCGGTCTCGTCCATGGATTGTTTGACACTGCTGCACAAGGCCCACAGTGAGTGCTCCTGGGGAGATGCAAAAGGTGAGAATGCTTTAGTGGGTTTGGCATATCCAGGGGATATTCCCCACCAATACCCCTTTAGTTCTTAAATCATATTTCTCTCTACATGGGTCATTCAAACACTTAATTTCCACTGAGTCCCCCTCTCCACCATTCTGCTATAACTCATAAGGTAGTAATACTTGGTGTAACATATGAAGTGAACTTAAAAACAAAAGATGGTTCATTTAATTATTCATTAAATAAATGCTTTTCTGAGTACTTGTGTCATGCACTCTTTGTAGGCTCCAGGAAAATAACACTAAATGAGCAATGAAGCTCCTGTTCTTACTAGCAAAAAGAACTGAAACTTTTATATTCCCAGAACAAAAGCTCATTGTGTATTATTTTATTTTGGCTGAGGACAAAACCACTTTTCAGAAAATTGAAGGCAAACTTAAAATATGTTTAAGCATACTATTCAAGTGAAATTAAATAATGAATTCAATACTAGAACCAATATATTTTATTAGAGTTAAAAGGTCTAAGATATTACAATATAAGTACTTTTCCATTATATTCAAGAAAATGTTGGGAAAACTAGTAAATTCACCCCATTTGGTAGTTCAACAATTTTTGTATAAGTGTTCACAATTGCCAAACCATTACTGGCATGCTTCAGCAAGAACGCATAAAGGCATTAGTGGCAGTTTTTAAACTGCCCCTTCTATGATTCATTATTACAAACATGTTCTCATGTAAAGTCAAAGGAACCCCGTTGTAAATATGAATTAACTTACAGAAACTTAGATAAGGAAGTGTAATTATTTTATCTTCTCCACTAAGAACAATTAAAATGTTACTTTTGAGTAAAAGCTAATTCTTTCCCCCTTTAAAGGGCAACTGTGAATGGGAAAATTCCTGTGAAACGTACAAGAAAAGACATTTCTGGTGCCACTGAAAACATAAGAGACTTATGTCTCTTTTTTGGATCTTCATTATTTTCTCAATGTGAACAACACAGCAATTGCCTCTAACAAGGGCCTTTGTAAGCAGGCCCTTACAAAGGGCTTTACGAGTTTTGTAAAACTCGTAAAGGCTTTCTGAGAGGTGGTCTTGAGGAGATGGCAAATGGGGGTGGGTATGTGCCTACAGATGTGGTATGGGAGTAGTGGGGCTGTAGGCAGGGGGCTTCTCTGCAACTTGCGTTTTGCCATTGATATAAAACAATGTTTTCAAAAAATATTAAGCACAAAAATCAGTTCTGCTCTCAAAACTTGAGTTGTACTACTTTATTCTTCTAATTAACTCCAACTCTTTCAGAAGAATGAAAGGAGATAACTCAAGTTGTACTTTTTTTCTCTTAAATCACCTAACAATTAGGTCCATCTTGTGCTGTCCAGAGGTTTAACAGCCTGACAGTTATGGGATCATCTCTGGCAGATGGAGGGGTGGAGGAGCAGAAAGTGACCAAACCTCCACATTAATGCCATACACCATCTCTCCTTCTAAATGCTGCTTAGACCTGAGTGACTTCATAGACCAAAGGGAAGTAAATCAGTTCAAACTTTTTAATAATCGCTAAGCTTTAAAGCATCATGGTAAGTGCCTGGAACCAGAAAAGAAAAAAGGACCGGGGGGGGGGGGGGTGAGCACAAGGGGGATGCAAAATTGTTATTACATAGAAACTAAAAATTTTCCTTAAAAAGAAAACTTGGGGGAAAGGGAGTATCTTATATGGTAAAGCATTTTACTGTAATTTTGGAAATAAAGAAGGCTTTCGCAGCAGTGCTCAAGAACTCCTAAGAGGAAACCACTCCTGACCATTTAGCAAAGACCTCTAACAAATGACCCTCTGTAGTCACTAACTACCAATTTACAAAGGCTCTGACTGCTTTAAGAGTAGACGACAGGCAACAAAAGACCCTCTGACGAAATGCAATGTTGTGAATTCTGATAATAGTTGCAATTTTCTTCACAACTTAAAATACAAAGAAAATATCATTGGTAACTCAAAACACTAGTGGACTTCAATTTACATTTGAGAATTATTTTTGCTGACAAATATTTAAAGTTGTAGTTAGTAAATTATAACTAAAATATCTCTCCTTCAAAATATTTCTGAGTATCTCTATGTTGCTTTTCTAACTTCCTGTTAGGGCTCAAATTTAACTTAATCTTCTGGGTCTATGGATTGTGAAGCTTTTTACAATCCATAAAAGACGCAGTAGGGCTGCGTCTTCCTCCTCTCCTAATGGCATACTACACCACGTGAATACAAAAAGAACAAGTCTGAAAAACAAAAATTAGAGCTATGCCTTCTACAAACCAAGCGGAAATAACCTGACAGATGGTCAGCTTTATAAAAAGAGTTATACTGCTCTAGTCCTTATTACCAAAAGTCAAGACCAAATACTCAGCAGCTACATTCTGGGAGAAAAGGAAGCTAATGCTAACAAACAACCAGAAGGTACACTGTATATAAGAAAATCAACTTACAAATATTTTTTTAGTGTTTTTCATGTGCTCAAGATTGTTGTAGTGGTCAGGTATTTCAAAACTAATACTGTCATAATTTCACCAAAAATAGACTTTCTTTAAATATTATATAAGGGCTATTATAAACAGTGGTTGGCCCATATTATTGCTAAGACTCATTTTCTTGAGTAAGACTCTAGGTCAACATAATTTATATCATACTCTCATATTTTCTATAAGCTATCTGGGGAATGGGATCTGCAAAGGCAATTGTGCTGCTATCAAATCTTCTAAATTCCTGTCCTGTTAGTACCCAAACTTTCACCAGCTCTTTAAATTTCATCCTTTACTTCAAAGAATTATCTGCTGCTTGTAGCTTCAAATCGATACCTTAAAATGATTTTTTTACATCCTCCAAATTCTCTGAACACATTCAGTTTGTATCACACAACTGTGCACTTGAATTTAAAATAGCTTCTTTTTGCCTCCAAAACAGAAAATGAGCTTTTCAGGAGGGGACTGAACTTTCTACTTCACTGGAAACCCCCAGAAAGGCCTGCAGCAATGGGTGCAAAGCAGGAACTAATAAGCATTTGGTGAACCTAGACAAGAAACAAGCTAAATTTAAAACCACACTGTATTAACTACTCCTCTAAACTGTCTTAGTGTGATTTCCTGAGGCACACTAATTTTTGTTTTACCCAACAAGTCTTTTGCTTCTTGAAGAGCCAGTAATTCCATTCCCCAAACAACCAATCCAACCAAATAAGACTTGCACATAATAGAAAAAGGAAACCAAACTAGGAACTGTAGCATCCCTCTTGTGTCTCAGTAGCTCACCTGTGTATTACAACACTCAACAGGTAGTCATAATGAGTCTTACCCTGTTATGTGGAGTATCTTAATTAAAGAGGCTTTCTGACAGTCATCTTCTATAGATCCAGACACTGTTGAAATGATTTAGCATGGTCAGTCTAAGCAAGTCTCTTGTCACAATGAGGATGATTATAGGGCATGTATGTCACCACTACATATAAAAGTCATGTCACAGGAAATCTAAAACACAGGGATTGTAAAGCAGAGAGGCACACCCACCCACCAGAGTGTGTCAGAGATCATGTGTAGTAAGTGCTTGAGAGCCTGGCCATACAGCACAACAGGATGACATGGTTTCTGATGAGCTGTCAATTTTTAATAGTATTGAGGATACCTTGTACATGAGAATTCATTTTTTTCCTGCTGTTTTCAAGATTTTCTTTATGTCTTTGACTTTGGACTATGTGACTATGACATGTCTAGGTGTGGATTACTTTAAGTCTATCCTACTTAGAATTTATCGAGATTTTTCAATGTGCAAATTAAATTAAAGTTTTCATCAAACTTGGAGAGATTTGGGGCATTATTTAAATATTATTTCTGTCCCTTTCTCTCTTTTCTCCTTCTGGAACTCCCATCATGTGTATGCTGGAATACCTGATAACATTTCCTTGGTCTCTCACACTGTTTGTTTTTAAATTTCCTTCTGCTCTTCAGATTAGATAATTTCGATGGACCTGTATTCAAGTTTGCTGGTTCCTTCTTTTGCCAATTTCCACTGTACTTTTCAACTCCAGAATTCCTATTTTCTTTTTATAATTACATATGGTTGTCTTTATTTTGGGGGTAAACATATTTCTCACAGCTGACTTCAACTCTGTGCCTAGCAGGCCCAATGTCTGGATTTCCTCACAGGCAGCTTCTACTGACTGCTTTTACTTTTCTGTGTGTTATCAGCCATACTTCCATGTTTCTCTATGTGCCTTGAAATTTTTAGTTGATAATTGGAAATTTGAAATAATATAATGCAACACCATTGACATCATATTCCTCCCTTCCCAGGATTTATTGTTGTTACTGTTTACTGAATTTTTTAGAATAGTTCTGTAAAGTTGTATGCATTGATATGTGTAGCCTCTGAAGTCTCTGTTCCATTAAGTTAATGGCTGGAATAAGATTTCTTTGAATGCTTTGAATCAATATGTCCCTCAGCCTGTGCTGTGATTGCTTACGTGGTACATTTTCAATGGCCCAGCAGGCAATTTACAACTCTGCCTTAGCACTCACTTCCTGCTTTTTCAGAGCCACAAGACCAGCTAGAAGTAAGAGAGGAGGGCCTTCACAGATCTTTCCTGTTGATCTGACCATTTTTACTAGTGTTTCTATTGCATTTATGGAGGAGCAGATTTTCAGAAGTCCCTGCTCCACTATCCCAGAAGTTAAACCCATCAGGTCACAGTTTAATCTCATTTTGTCCACACTTGGGCAAGTAACTTAGTTTTTCCAAGCCTGCTTCAGCAGAAAACAATGACTGGCTATTTATCTTATCACTCTGTGAGAATGAAATATGATAGTAAGATAATACTTGTAAAGCAACTGGAACTGTAAGCACTGAATAACTATTACATGTATTGAGGAAAGGAAAAGATATATTTTTGTTTTAGTTAAAAAATGCATACATATGCCCAGTATGGAAGTAAACACAATAATTTAATACAATAGTTTACTTAT